CCTATAGAGGTTGATCTTCATCTAAACAAAAACAACCAAAAGTTTGTAGTTTATAGGTCTTGCCTCTTTAATTTCTGGGAGGAGAGACGGGATCACCTTAACATCCTTGGAGCAAAAGGAACCGTCAAGCTATTTCACTATTCTGTCTTGAATGTCACCATGAACTAGATTTGTAAGACGGTGACCACAGCGGCGGCGCAAAACTGAATATAATGAATGAAAATAACTATACATTCAAATAAATGCTTCACGGTGAAATTCTACGAAAGTTCTTGTTCCGATAATAGTGACCTAAAATGTTTTGTAGAATTATAAGGAGGCGGTACCAAATATACAAAGTGCCTGGGTGAAATTAAGAAAAGAGATATATGCCAGAACTTGTATTTTGTACAGAAGAACAGTTGCCATTAAAAGATGTTTCTCATGGTAGAGTGTACTTACTCTACTAACCAGTACAAGAATCCTATGTAATATACATTGTACGATGTTTAGTATAAGAGCGTCATTATCTGCTAATAACCTTAGTAAAGGTGTAAATCCATCTCTTCCCCCAACTATGGGGAAATCGCATGATAGAGTGGGTCCTATAGACTTTGCTGGCAACGAGTCTAAGAGAATAAAAACTATCTGCTGTTTTGAATGTCTTCATATTTAACTTCTAAGAAGATGGATATTCCCTGTGCAAAAGGAGCCGGTAAACCATTGGATTATTCTGCTTTGAATGTTTCCATGAAATACAATTATGAGATGGGGGAGAGTGGTGACTACAGTGACTGAATAAATGATGAAGAATGTTGATGAAGTAATAAATAAGGACAATTTGTTTTTCAATTTTTGTAACCCAATTTTGTCACCTTTTTCAAAAACAGTTTGTTAGGAGGATACGGTTGTACAGTGGCATAAGAAAAGTTTTTAGCTAGAAGAAATAAACTACATCCAATTTCAAAATTTAATTACGTAATCCCTATTCAACATAAACAAACAGTATTTCGAACTAGTATGGAGTAGGTCCTCCATTTGCTAGTTTCAGTGATTGTATTCGATTTTTCATCGATTCGATCAAGTTATCAACAATCGTCTGAGCCATATTTTGCCACTTCTTTAACAATGTTACTTTAAGGGTTTGCTACTGATGTGATTTTGGTTGCACGCTCTTGAAGTCTTTGATCAAGGTGATCCTAAACGTGCTCTATTGGATTCATGTCAGGATTTTGGGCTACCCATGTTAGTGACTTGATTCCTTGTGATTCCTTCCAGACCGTTGCTACTTTGCCCGTATAACATGGCTCTCCATTTTCTTGAAAAATGTAGACATTCTTGTCAATCTGATTGGTTCCAAATAGTGGGAGTAGTACTTTCTCTAATATTTGATAGTATTTGGGGCCATACAACCGCTCGTCAGCAAGAATCAGCTCAGATTTCCCTCCAAACCAGACAGCGCCTCACACCATTACTCCAATCCCTCCATGTTTCATGGTCGCCTGCAGACATTTAGTGTTCCATGCTCATTCTGATTTCTCCAAACACAAAACAATCTCGAATTAAAATATTTGCAGAATTTACTTCCATCTGACCAAATTACAGACTGCCAAAATTCATAATTTTTGCTCTCGAATTCTTTCGCCTTGTCCTGTTAACCTCTGAAAGCAAGGGCTTCTTGCTTGGTCTTCCTGAACGTTGTTCCACACAACAATGGCCTTCTTCATTAAATTTCTTGACAATATTATTAACCGTTTGATGATTAACCTAGAAAAACCTAGGAATTTCTCTAATTGACTTGCCACACTGATGCCATCCGATCCTTTGCCCTCGTTGAAATTCACCAATTTCCTTACTTCCGCGAATTTTCATTGCAAAATATAAGTAATGATATGTCCCGGCAAGGGATATATTTGTTCGAAGTAGCCGAGTGGTGGTTGACTACTGTAACCGGGTAGGACAATCTAGCAGGTAACCGTAATGGACTGGTCCTCGTCGTAGTGGTAGGCAATAGACGTAGGCAATAGGCGAAGACTATAGGCGTAGCCAATAGGCGTAGTCCATGTACCTCCACCAGCCATCATATTACTATGAGAGGGAACCCAGGTGTATGCATATTCATTACATCAAGTAAGCTATCATTAATAGATGAGAGCAACTTGATACTAACACGGTATTGTCTGAAAAAAAAGAAGAGGCCTTATTAAACAAGCCAGAATTACTGTAACCAGGCAAGAAATTATGTGGATATAAAGAAGGATCAATTCTACATTACAATCAATATATAAACTGAGTTCTTACTTTGTGGCCACTGTAGTTTCTATACATTTAGTCTCAACAAGACTGAGGTGCTTTCTCAGCCCACACCAAACACAAACACCCCAACACCGACCATCGTCATCGATGACACACAACTTGCCAATTTTGAGCATTTCAAATACCTGTGAAATACTATCTCTCGTGACGGCTCCCTAGACAAAGAAATTAATGCCAGAATCAGCAATGCAAGTCAGTCATTAAGAAGACTTCGCAACAGAGTGCTCAGTCAACACTGGGAGCCTACAATGCAGTAGTCGTGTCCTCTCTTCTATATTGTTGTGAGTCTTGGACACTGTACTGCAGACACACCAAAAAGCTGGAAAACTTTCACATGCGAGCTCTCCGTTCCCATACTCAGAATTCGCTAGCAGGACCGCATTACCAATCTTGAGGTCCTGGATCGTGCTCACTCCTCAAGCATTGAGTCCATTAAGACCCAACTCCGATGGGTGGAGCATATCGTCCGCATGGAGGAGCGCCGCTTGCCAAGACGTCTGCTGTACGGAGAGCTCCCGCACGGCAAGAGAAACCAAGGCCGCCCAAAGAAGTGGTACAAAGACACTGTTAAAGCAAATCTCCAGGGGTGCAGGCTCAAACCAAAGAACTAGAGGAGCGCGCCATTGATCGACCACATTCGCGAATCACAATCTGTCACGTTCAAGGATGCTCGACGCCAGAAGCTTACCGCTGCCAGAGATCAACGCCACAGTGCATCGTAAGGATAAACGGATAGCTAATGACCTTAGAAGCTAACTTATCTGGAATATTACAATGTATCTTTGATGGACACGTTGTGTTGAATCTACAAAAATCGTTTTTGAAAACTCTAAGTAACGTTGCAGAAATGCCGATGCGCCATTTTCTTACCTGGATGACATGCCTTTGGTAAAAGGCTCAGAAAGTGTTGAAATCTCAGTGACACATAATAAATAAAGCGAATTAGAAAAACATGAGACTCAGAGAACATGTTGAATGAAAGATGAACAGAGGAAAGCAGTAAATAACCCTAACCCTAACCTATCTCGAGATTGTTTAAATACTGGAAGAACGAACTAGGAAGAAAAGCAAAGACAGAAGTCCTTACTAAGAGCTACAAAGGATAAGATTCTGCAGGGAGCCATGATCTCGCATGTTCTGCAGGCACAGAAAAGGAAAAGAAAAGAAACTCGAATACAGTTAATGGTACACATTTTAAGATAAAATAAATGCAATTTGTACTTTTCAGATCTTCCTCTAGAAAAAAATGGTATATCACTTCAAGGGCATCTGAATTACCGTAATTTCTCATGCATAATACGCATTTTTTTTTCTAAAAAATAATAAGCAAAATTAGGGGTGCATATTATGCCCAGCTACAAAAATATCTTTAAAAATTTGCCCTTTCAGTCGATTTTAGTTGTGAAATGACTACCTACCACAAACATAGGACAGTTTGACATTAACATTCGGTAATCGCAACACTATAAGGATGCCAAATATAATCATATGTACTTAACAATACTTACAAATGTAAAATAAAATAAGAATTATCCTAAAACTAAATTAGAATAATATTATTCTATGTTTAAAAGGATGTTTTTAATAAGATTAGGAAACGCTGTCCGTAATGAAATTGGGGAGGTACAATTTATAGGGTTTGATTACCAAACATGGGGTGCATATTATGCGTAAGTAGAAGCATTTTCCCCACACTTTCAACACAATTTTATGGGTGCATATTATGGATGAAGGCGTATTATACATATGGAATTACGTTATTAATCTCAAAAGCAAAGCAGAAGCAGTTCTCCCCGACAGAAAATCATTATTAAGCGGAACGTCTAAGCCCCCGACATAGGCTCGCTTACATGTGACGTCTGAAGTACCCATTGTGATCCCGAAGACTGTTTATATTTTTTGATAAGATTCGGTCGCGTCGAGGCGGTGTAATGGTTAGCAAGCTTGTCTTGATAAAACAATTACGACTTAGTAGTGAGTTCGATCCTCACTGGGTGCCCCATACTTTCGGCTTAAAACCGCATCTAAGGTACGCTTGGAAAATCGTTATGTTTTGATACGATAACGAATGTAAATCTTCGCCCCGTTTTCTTCCTAATCTCTCCTTTCCAGAAATAATTAAAAGCATCTCAAGCCAAGATATTGGGTTGGTGCATAATTCTCAGGCGTTTCGTCGGTGAGTTATTTGTTAATAAAAATTGCTGATTTGTTTAATTTTTTTTTAAATATTATTTTATTTTAGATTGTAAAAATGCGTGTCGATAATCATTTGTCATATTGTGATGTACCGCTTCGAAAAAGGATGGAAAGCAACGCAGTCATTTTACGATTTCAAAGAACTTTGTGGTGAAGGGGCAATAAGTCGATACAGGGTTAGGGTTTTCCCGTTTCAAATCTGGTGACACTAGTTTGGAAGATAAGCCAGAAAGAAGTCGACCATCGGATTTTGATGACCAGGCACTTTTGGCAGCCGTGGAAGACGACGAAAGTTTGAGAACTCGAATGCTGACCGAAGACTTCAAATTGGACCATTCAACCAGCGTTCGTCATCTCAAAAAGCCCGGAAAGGTATGGAAATTGTCTGGATGGGTCCCTCACGAACTATCTGACAACAATAAACCCGAACATGTCCGAATTTTCACTGCTCTGCTGCAATGAAACGACCAAGCTCCGTTTGTGAAGAATCTTGTCACTGGGGATGAATCATGGATTCTCTTGAGAAACGTCAAAAGAAAGAAGGTCTGCGTTTCGCCAGGAATTTCACCAAAAGGAATACCGAAAAACATGCACTGTATGAAGGCAATGGGATATGTTTGGTGGGAAAGAAGCGGAATGATCCTTTGGAAATCATCTCAAACGGGGTTTGTTATAGGTGGAATGTCGACGATGAGCCTCAACAGTGGCGCATTCCAGAGAAAAACGGCAAGTGGCAATTGAATGTCAATAGCGATGTCTATCTGGCTCAACTTGACCGCCTTCAAGCTGCAATCGAGACAAAAAGACCGCGCAAAAAGAACCATATCGTCATCTACCACGATAATGCGCGTCCATGTGTTGGGCGTCGTGTTGTCGAATGTATTGCCAATAAAGGCTGGGAACTGCTTCCACATCCGCCATATTCTCCTACAGAAGCGCCTACGGACTCCCACGTCAGTCGATCGTTGAAAGATTGACAGGTGAACTAAGTTTATGCCGATTTGGATAACTTGGTGGCCGATGTTAAAGCATGGATTGCCTCCAAGAACTGTGACATCTTTGCCTGTGGAATCTACCGTCTTCCAGGCAAATGGGAAGCAGTTACTGAAGTAGATGGTGACTACGTTCCGGAATAATCATTTAAAATGTTATTGTTGAATTGTCATGTTTCTTTTCTAATAATGAATATTGTTGATAATTATGCACCAACTCAATATATGGCCACAAAAATATTAAAAAATAAAAAAAAGGTTAACTCCATAACCTCCAGTGTGTCAAAATATATAACACATAAATCGATCACAATCCCAATTCCGACCTGGGTGAGACGATAAACTGCATCCGCGTCCTGGGTAAAACGATAAGCTACGTCCAACAGCAAGGCCTCTGATCAGTAGGTTTTGAGAAGCGTGGAACCACCTCTTAATTGCTGGTGTTCCCAGGTCCACCCTGACCCGGTGTGGTAGCACCTGTTAGGGTCCCAGCTATGGGCAAATAGTTAACCCCCAAACTGGGGTCAAAACACTATGAAAGTGTAAAAATAGGTCTTAATACCAGAAATACTTTGTAAAAAAATATTTCCAGCAATGAATTTTTGGAGAAAAAAACTATTTTGAAAAAATTATTACCAGCAGTACATTTTTTGAAGTAACAGAAATTTTGATAAAATCTGTTTTTTGGAGTTATCAACAATAAAAGTTCGAACTCATTCATGTCGCAGCAGCCATTACTGGCGTTGTTTGCAAATATTTGCTGTAGCGTAGACATTCACGTGTCTCGATTATTGCGCACGCACTGATGCAAACAACGCCAATAAGGCTGCCGTCCGGTAGCCGACAACGACACGAATGTGTCCGAACATTTACTGTCGATAAACTCCAAAACGGTAGATTTTATTAAAAAATTTCTGTTATTTTCGAATCAGACATGTAAATTTAGAATAAAAATAACTCTTCGGGAAATTTTTATCAGTTACTTAGCGCGGAGCTTAAAAGGCAAATTATCCGAAATTTCTTATGGAGTCATTGGCATAAATTGGTATAATTTTTTGAGGTTATTTTCGAGCCATTATTTACGGGATATGTTGCGAAATAGGGTAAATAGGGTCCCAAAATCAGGTAAGTGTTCAACCTCCTTTTATCGCCTACATTCCCTACAGTTACCACGATTCATCTGCAGTGCGGGTCGGCCATCTTGGAACCCAAGGCCCGTGCTATAGTGGTTGACTACTGTATATAGTAATGTATGTAATTAAATGGTCAAACGCATGTGTATACGTCTATTAAAACTGACCATAAATCAGTAAATAACCGACAGATATTGATTTTAATGTGAATTTTATGTAGTAAATATTACATTCTTCAAGTTTTTATTAAAATCTTAATTAAACACCTTAATTAGACTTTGTCGTCGTAAAAGGTAAACAAACCGATCGATCCGTTTCCATTTGTTTACATTTTGGTGCAATTTTTTAAAAACAGTTCAAAAAAACTTTTCTTTATTATTTCTTTTAATAAAGTCGATACTGTCTAACAGTAAAGACATCCAAGTGTGGCATATTTCATACTTATCTCGGTAGGTCGATTATAAAGGGATCTTAATGAACTTATTCTTCGAGTAGGTATAACTGATTTAGTGTTAGACTTGTGGGAGTCAATTGCCCTCACTAATTTATATTAGACACAATGCCACAAAAATATAACAAGAAGAAGAAACAAGAAAATTCAGTCAAGAGAAATTGTGCAAATAAATAGATTTTTATATAACAAATATACAAAACAATATTTATGAATGTTGTTCAAAATAGTGAAATAAACTTGTCTTTTTAGATTTTTGCGTGAGGTAATGTTCCAGTTTGATAGTTGTAGGGTAATTTGTGTGAATTTGGAAAAATTCAGTTCAATGTAATATTGTTTGTATTTAAAATAAACAGTTCGAAGTTTGTGGGAAAAGCGCGTGTGCTGTGACTTGCGTTGTGTTTGACGATTGAGTGTCTGTCGCTTTGTTGTTTGCCAATGTGAGTTTAGTTTGCATTGACTAATGGAAATACACTGTGGTTATGTTAAAAAGGATTTTTTACTTATAGTCTGAACTTCAGCTGAAAGTTATTTTATGATGAGTGTCGTCACGTGACGCGTAGCTCTTTGGGCTGATTTTCCCCGCTCCTTTCTTTATTAATCGTTTGTTGTTTATGTAAGTAATATAAGTCACGTGATAGGCTCCAGAAAATGTTTAAAACCTTTTGCGCAACTGCACCTTTGATCAGGTCAAATTAAGGTCAGACGTGCGGACGTAGTCGACGACATAACATGTAATATTTTTGAACTAATCAAATTACTTAGCTGTGTAATTTAATTTGGAGCCTATATTTTGTTGAATTTTTGATGTTTCAAGAACATATTCGATGTGGATCCTATAGACTTCAGGTTACCGACCCAATGTCTATTTACCATTTATTTCATATAGAAGTGATTACATTTCTCACCAGTCATCGGCCCAGACCGATTCGCAAGGGTCTGATTTATTAAATATTAAAAAATGCTTTAAATCTGTTCGTTAGTTTGGACGTACCATAAAAATAACACCGTGACTATGTGGTCGTATACTGCAGTTTAATTTACGTAAGAAAATAAAGGGTCGAACAGACACGTGTATTTCTATTAACAAATCAATGAATATGCGATAGAAATGAATGTTCTTTTGCAGATCAATCGACAAGGGTCGGATTGAATAAATTATTAAAAAATCGTTTAAATCTGTTCGCTAGTTTGGACATGAAATTAAAATTACATTGTAATTCCTTACTATATTCCTACATAGTAATTTACCAAGGTCAAAGGTCAATGTCAAGTCGCAAAAATTATAATTATATTTATTTGCAATGTTTTAAGCAGACGATATGTTGATGACGTCATAACCAACGCTCAATCTAAGACGAACTTAAAAAATAATATCAATTGTAACAGACGGATTAACTATTTAATTAAGGAAGGAACAGGCAGAATTATCAATATAATGATAAATATTTGAAATGCAAAATTCTTTATTGCAATAAAAATGTGAAAATTAACAGGGGAAATACCCAAATGATAATTATTCGAAATACAAATACCGTTAATAAAACAATTTAGTGAGAAAAAATCCTTTTTAACCTTAAGTTATAAAAACCTTCTCGCAAATAGTCAACTACTCAAGAGTATCTGACTATCTTTCTGAGATGAGGTATTATGTACACTATTTACATTATTCGGACTACTGTCCTTATCTTTGTTGCCATATTTATCATTTATTTATTTTTCGGTCGTTGTACGCTCCAGCCTTCTTCAGGTGGGTGGAATGTCGAACTTAACCCTTCATTTCCTCAAAGACACATGGCACAGTGGATAAAGGCGTTGGTTAGATCCAGTGACAGGATCAAAGAGTGTAAGTTCAATACCGGGTTAAGGCAGTGGAGAAGTTGGAGAGAGGAATTCACAGAAGATAACTGATAACTGACATTCATTAGACATGGCACGTGGAACTAGAACAGTCTACCCCAGTAAGCGAAATAAAGGGTTCAGTTCGACATTCCAACCACCTGAAGATGGCCGGAGTGTACAACGGCCGAAACGTTGTGATAAATATGGCGACAAAGATGAGGATAATAGTCCGAATAATGTAAATAGTGTACTGAAGAGTACTCGTTAAAGGATGCCACTAATTTTCCATTTACGTCGCTTTATTTCTTGGCGCTCTTGATATTTTGCAACCTGCTCTTACTTTTGCAATATGAATTTCTTGCAAGTCCTTTTCTCATTTATGAAGGTCTAAAAATATCCATATTGTGAATTGATGGAAATTTATTTGTTTCAAAAAAGCCTCATGCCATTCTTCAAGGGCGTCATTAGTTCTAGGTAAATCAGCATTGACTCTCTCAAGGGAAGACCACATATGTATTTCAAACATATGTATTTCGAATAAGTATCATTTAGTATAATTGGCCTTCCGATTTTCATTCAGACAATTTACAATTCGAATAAATGCTTTTCGAATAATTGTTTTCGAAGAATTTTTTCGACACGCTTACTTACCTGAACACGTGTATGCGAACAAATATTACACAAAACAGTGACATAAACTTAATTCTTCTTCTATGTGCTGTGTTCCTTTAAGATGTTAGCGATCATGGCTCTCCACAATTTATTGTCCTTTGTAAATTTTGTCTTTCATTATCTCCTTTCTGCCAAACATTCACTGAAGTTTGTTTGGCAGCTTATGTGCTGCTTCCCTCTGTCCATCTTGCCTTCAATATTCCCTGCGTGTTAAATTTTTCAAACCCTCATTCCTCATTAAGTACCCTAGATATTTCAACCGTTTCTTTCTTATGTCAACCGTTTTGTTTTCATTTTCTCTAAAACTTCATCGTTGCTCACATGTTCGGTCCATGGTCCATCTCAGCATCCTTCTATACAACCAAATGTTTGTTCCTTCTGATCACTTCTTCATCACTGAAAAGATTATCAAGCATTCACTACCATATAGATGGAATCTTATTACATAACAGTCCAGTACACTTTTCTTTGCTTCCAACGAAATTTTTCTGTTCCATAATGCTTTGCTTAGCTTTTGAAAATCATCTTCGGATATTCCAATGAGCTTCCGGATTTCGCTGTCACATTTTCCGTGTTCTATTAAAACACTTCCCAGGTACTTAAACTGTTGTACTTGCTTGATTTTGGTATCTCTAATTTGTAATTTGTCTAGTATTATAACTTACATATCATCATGTGTCTTATGTTTTTTATCAACTGCCTTAAGGAAGATAACTAATTTGTCTACACAACTTTTAAAATTTATATTCTAAAAATAATTGTAATTTTTTAAAATCATTTACAATCTTTTCTTAAAATAAAGTAAATTTCCATCCTGAAGGTAGTAACGACCTGAGCATTTAGATCACAGTTCATAATATATAACGAGTATGAAAAGATGAAATATT